CCGATGAAGGCTGTCACCTTCCACATGGGCAGGGCAAGGACACCAGTGCATTGACATAGCCAAGCAAGGTCAGAACTATCCTCAATATTGTAGACGACAGAGACCATGATGAGGTTCAGGGGGCTTCAAAAGAGACTGCAAAGATTCCTAGGTCAAAAGAGAGATTCTTTTTTATTTATTTTATTTATTTTATTTTATTAGTTCAAATTAGGAACAAGCTTGCTTCAGATGTCAATCCCTTCTCCCTCTCCCCCAACATCCCACCTGCCCCTAGCTATCCCCCCTCCACTCCCCAGGCAGGGTAAGGCCCTCGAAAGGGGATAAGGAGAGATTCTTGATTGTCAGTCTAAATGCATAAAGGTGTATTCATGAACTTTAAGCCTAAGCCATAGTACTTCAGAATATGCATGATCTCAGATCTCAATTCTCAATTGAAATATATATTATTTTTCAAGAGTTCTTTTCTCTCCTGACTTTGTGGTTCAGATCTGTGATTTTAGTTTCTCAGGAGGCTGAGGCAGAAGGATCACACATTTAAAGCCCACCTAAGCTACTTAGTTTTAGGACTCTGTCTCAAAAACAAAACAAACACATAACACAAAGAATTATGGCAAATGAGTTACTCCAACTTACACCTCTATTGCTAGGAGACCTCTTTTACCAAACAGTGATAGCAATCATTTCATCCTGTTTATTCTCTATGGAGACATTGGAATGTTTTGTGTTTTTTGGTACTTTTTTTTTTTTTTTTGAGACCTGGAACTGTGTAAACTAGGAAGGAACGAAGAGATCCTCTTGCCTCCTGAGTACTGAGATTAAAGATATGGACTACCAAACCTTGTTTGCTATATTTTTTTAGTCGTACACACTTGATTTTTATTATAAATAATTATAACATAGAATAAATTGTTTTTGTAAATTTTTGCTTAGAAGCATGTCTCTTGGGCAGATCATCACACTTTATAATAAACATAGATAAACTTAAGAACTTCTAATTATCTCACTGGCCCAAATACATGATGACTTTTTATTCATTGAAGTGAAAATACAACTTTTTTTTTCTCTTTTTCTTTTTTTTTTTTTCAAGACAGGGTTTCTCTGTATTATTTGGAGGCTATCCTGGAACTCACTTTTTAGACCAGGCTGGCCTAGAACTCACAGAGACCTGCCTGCCTCTGCCGCCTCAGGGCTGGGATTAAAGGCGTGTGCTACCAATGCCCAGCTTCTGTCTTTTCTTTGAAGCTAAAAGTAATATTCTTGTTAGCACTTTAATTTCTGTTTATCCCCAACTATTACGTATTTCTGTAGCTATTATTCAGGAGAGCAGTACTTTCTGAAGGGTTTAGGGATGATACTATTTAAAAATAGTACATAAAAGCCCTTATCTTTTATAGATATATTTTGAAATATGGCTAAAATAAGGTGGTGGTGTTGGTGGCAGCGGCTCATGCCTTTAATCTCATCATTTGGGAGGCAGAGGCAAGCAGATCTCTGAGCTTGAGGCTAGCCTGGTCTACAGAGCAAGCTCCAGGACAGCCAAGGCTACACAGAGAAACTATGTCTAGAAAAATGCAAGAAACAAACAATAATTTTTTATATTTTCTTTAAAATTGAGAAGTGGGTAAAAGGTATAGGTGAAACATGATTGTGCAAGAAGTAATCATTGTTTAATCTAGATTGTGGTATAAATGGTTTCATTTTGTTCTCTATACTTCTGCATGTGTTTGAAATTTTCCATGGTAAATTAAGAAATAAAAGTAAGATCTATATAATTACTTTCTTAAATTTGAATTCCACTATAGCAAATAATATTTAATGTATGTGATAATGTTTTTCAGTTTTGAAGGAGATAATTTTGCTGCATACAAGTTAAACTGGATGTGGTGGTAAACACCCAAACCCTAGCTAGCATTTAGAAAGCTGAGGCAGGAGAATTCCCATGTCTCAGAGGCCATCCTGGAGATAAATTTGAAGTAAGCATTTTTATTGTGTTAGATAGAGGTATATATAGCTAGATAAAAACAATTAAAACTGGAAGTTCTTATTCATTGCTAAAGTGGGGTTCCTTGATTGACTATAATGAACTCTTATTGTTTCAGGTAGTCCAACAGCAGCCTTCAGGAGGCAATGCAAATCAAGTGACCACCATTTCCCATTCGTCGTCATTGACCACTCAGAAATGTGGGCCGAAGATGCCAGTGAATACTGTAGTGCCTACTAGTAAGTTTCCTCTTATATGTACATGTTGTCATTCCAGCTTTGTCACAGTGGATCTGGAACATGACAGGGTTTGCACCCTCTGTATTAAGAGAAGAGGAATTTAAGCAAAGACTGAAAGATAGCAATTACATTTACAGAAACCCTCTTTAGGGGTATATATTATTTTGAAATAACTGCTTATTAGGTATTGTATTGTTAGATAGGACATTCTAGTAGTAAATGTGTTAAAAATACACCAATATAAATAAAATATTTTTCAGTCACTTTTTGTGCATGATGTTTTTATAATGATGCTAATTCTAAAACAATTTGAGGCTACATGAAACATAATCTAGAGCTATTTATAAGATGATTTCTTATTCAGGGTAACATTCACTAGCCTATTATAATGTAAACATAGTTCTATGGTAGCTTAAGATAATCTGATTATTTCATATTTACTAAAAAAAAATGCACTGAATTTTCCTAATGTGACATGATTGCTTTTTTTTTTTAATTCTACTGTTTATTGTTTTGTTTTTACAGCTTCCATCATAAAGCAAATTAGTCTGCCTGGAAATAAACTCTCGCTTCAAGCTCAAACATCTTCTATTCCGAACAATAAAATAAAAGAGAATGGAGCACCATGCTTCAGGTAAAGAAATTCAGTAGTTAAAACTTGGTCTGATGTGGGGAAGTAAAGTTCTAGGGGGAAAACATGGTAAAGAATAATGTGTAAATAAACACATATGAAAGAATGCCTTTTAAAAATCCTGAAAGAGATAGTCCTGGTTTGATTCCTAGCACCCACATGGCAATTCATAACCTTCTGTAACTTCAGTTTCAATGGGTCCAGTGGCCTCTTCTGGCCTCTCTGGGCACCAGGCATTCATGCAGTGAACAGACATAAATGCAGACAGTATAACCATTTACTTTAAGAATAATTAAAAATTACTGAATATACTTTACAAATAGCAGATATAAATCTTACATGCTTTTTTCAATTGTTTTGAAAAACCTGTGTAGTTGTAGTCTAGACTTGGGTATTAAGCATGTTCATTGTTACCTTCATGTACCATTCAAGTCATTTACCTCTGTCCCCTACTTCTGCTAGTCCCTGTTCGTAGACTTGTCGAATGTAGAGATCATTTTTGTTTATTCCTGAACTTCATGTAGTAGAATATTATTACTCTTTTATTTCCAAGTTTGCTTCTGTAGTTTCAGGTAATGGCAGTTAGGAATGTTCCGAAAATATTAAATGTAAAATTCTAGAAATAATTCATATATTTTTAATGTATCATTCCGAATGGCATGACAAAGTCTAGTGTCATCATGTTAAGCAGGTGAATCATCCCTTGTATAGTGTACCCAGAGTTGATATGCTACTTACTGCTTGGTCAACTGGTAACCCACCACAATTATCAAATGAGTCAGTGCCTTTGTTCAGGTAGTTGAGGCTTGGCTGTGTCACAATGTAGGCATTGTATCTTCCATTCATATTATCATACAAAGGGTGATTACAGGTTATTTTGAGGACCGAGAAAAACCACATTAAACTCTTTTTAAAGTATATTGTTATAATTACTACTAATTAGCCTTACTGTGCCTACTTTACAGATAAACTTTATTATAGATGTCTATATATAACTAAAAAAAACAGAATACACACAC